TTTTATTAAAGATTTTTTCAAATACGTTTCCTATCATTTTAATTGAATTCAATTTTCGAAATAGGTGGCAGTAAGCTTTCTTAAACCTTTTTAATTTGCAATATTTAATTTATGTTACCAATCAAATTCAATAAAATTTTTGAAACAGATGCCAACCTTCCTCAAAAATATTTCAAACTGTAAGCCTCCTAGACCTCTTTCTTTTGACACCCATACTGTAATACCTACTTTATCTTGTAAATTGCTTATATTGAAATTTTCAACTCTCTACTCTCTAATTTTTTTTTTAATCGGTCAATCCGTTTCGAGTTTTAGCGAGACTAACGGACTGCAATTCATTTTTGTATCCGAGCGCACTTTGTTCACATAACGGTTGATTGTAATAGCCAAAATGAATCGAGATAAATATAGGCAAGTTTATAGATAAATTCCCAGAATGAAAAAAGAAATCGATTAAGCGGTAACACGCCGTCCGTCCGTCTGTTCGTGTGTGTACACGAAAACTCGAGAAAAAATTCCGATACATATCTCAATGAAACTTGGCACGTGCACTTCTTTTGAACGTAAGGCTGCATTTACATTAGGTGATTTTCTTTGCGATTCAACATTGCTCAAGAAAAATCGCTCGTGTACATGGTGATTCAAAAATCGCTTGCCTCAAAGTAGGCAGCAAGTCAACTTTGCAAGCGAGTTTTGTCTGTTAAATAAAAAATCGCCTCATGTATAGGCAGCTTAATATGGATATGAATGTATATGGTTTAGCCACGCCCACTTATCTTCAGATGTGTATATCTCGGCAACCGCTCCACCAATTTCTGCCAACCATGGCACTGTTATTGATCTCGGTAAAAGATACCAAATGGCTGAAAATTTTAAAAGCAGACAATATCAATTTTAATATACCAAACTACTGTTAAAATTTTTAAAATCGGTCTAAAATTACGCCTACTTTTTAAATAGCGGTAACTTTCAGAAATACTTGAAGCTTCGGTATTTCGAATTTTAAGAATGCTAATTTACTCAAAATTAATACTTAAAACAATCCCTTAAAAAGAAGTAACGTTATTCTGGGATCATCGAAAATGGCGTGATACTTCCCACTTATAAATATTACATAAGTTTATCTCATTAAGTCTAACTGAACATACCAGCAAAAATGTGCGAAATAAGGATAAAACCACAAAAGGTGAAAAAACACTATTTAATACGAACGCTGGGCTTTTCCCGAATTAATACTTTTTTACTTGTTATATATAACATGTATTTATGTAGTAAAATCATATCTAGCTGCAATGTTGACCTATTTAATTATGGAACAATAGCAAAAATATTACGGTAATTATGCTGGCGGTCGCCGCAGCCGAGTGGCTAGAGTTGCGTGATAAGTCGCGCTAGGACCCTATTCCGATTACTTGTTTGCAATTAAGAGATTTCTGCAGTGGTCGCTGCCCGTAAGCGAACGGTAAATCTCCAAATGTAGATACTTCTGACATAATAAAGCTTCGCATAAAAAAAAATATTTCAAACTACAGGCTCCGCCATTGGAGGATGATTCTGGCTAAACATTTAGCAAACATTTTAGTACCAAGTATTGATTTATTTATTTCATTTCGCTTAATTATATAATTTGCTATCCATAATACAAATGCTGTTACTTAATCCGCTTACAAAGTGCTTGGCATTAAATAGGGGCCATTAATAAAATCATTATTGAGTATACCGTTACATACCGATACATAATGTATAATTATATACTCACGTATGTATGTATATGATAGTTTATTATTAGGGTGCCCCTGAATATAGGGAGGAAAAATATTTTTAAAAAATTCGATTGACAAATCCTCTTATTTTTATATTTCGGACTAGAAAACGTAAATATATGCAGAATTTTTTTGCTGCAAAACGACGAACGCACGTCCCGAGTTAAAATTGCACCTTTTTTAAGAAATTGTTCTGAGACTACCACACTGAGCAACAATATGTACGTGCTGCTCACATATGACAAAAGAGCACAGAGGTAAGAAACTAACGTTTTGAGTTTTTCAAGGACATTGAAGAAAAAAAATTTACATGCCATTTGTAGTTTTTGTAAATGATGTTTTTTAAATGATTTTAAATGAATGGGGCATATTCATAATCCATTGAAATTTATGCCAAAAAAACTGCAACTAATTTAGAGCTGACTTTATTTTGACTTTGAATATGCCCTTATAATGTAACTTCAAATGTCGGTGACTAAAACTGCGGCGGTGGCTTAGCAGACCTTGTTATTCCTGAAGTTATTATTAACCTTGAAATCGCTCGTCGGTAAAATGTCTGCAACTTCGTTATTGGAAGGCAGGAATACGTAATTTTTGATCCTACTCATTTACTGACATGCCTGTGTTAAACTATAAATGTATCTTCAAGATGACATCCCAGTCCAATGGCAGGGCCTATACCTCGTCTTGGATTGTTATAAGATATCTCGGGTTTCTGCAACTCTCGGACGAGTTACCGGGTACACCTAAGTTGTGAAGACACACATATCCGGGTTGTCTCGCTTCATTTGTTGCTTGCTTGCCTTCGTTGTGGAATTTTTCTACTAAAAGAGAGTTTCGTGGGTCAATGATTCTAGTTGGGACAGAGGTTGTTACTTCTGGCAGAATTTTTTGCGCTACTCTGAGCAGATCCGGAAGTAGACCGGTATCGCAAGATTTAACGTTTTTAAAAGTCCCGGCCTGGTTGATTTTATAGAAAATAAAATGGCATCTGATATAAAAACTTTTGCCAAATGTTTTTTTTTTTTTAATATTCTAAAAACATAGTCCATCGTTTTTTCGTCAACATACATATGTATGCAGGCATAAATAAATATGCTTTTGCGTTCATAAATATTAAAATCAATTAACAATTCAATTCTCATCACACACACTATCATATTTGCATGTAAGTATGTGTGTAAGTACATATTTATATAAGTATACATAAGTATACGTACATTATTAAAAGTGTTTTAGTGTAATAAGTACTGATTTATGCATAAAATTGTATGTTTACAACATTCACAGCAACAACCATCTGTGTAAGCAGCATATACTATATGTATGTACATACGAAGGTGGGTAATTAAATAAATATTTCATGCAAATTTTCTTTTTTAAATTAATTTCATTTATAAGTAGATAGGTACTACTTGTGTGCTAATGCGAGTGCATGTGCGGACATACGTACATATGTGTGTATGTATAATTCAATTTTTAATTTATGCTGAAAACAACATGTGTAACAGCGCTTTTACTTTCAAGCACAGCAGGCAATCAACCAGCAAAAAGAGATCGCATATGCCTACTTTATTCAACTTTGAAGTGATTTATACGGAAACTGTTTAAAAAATGTGAAATCATGTCAAACTTTACAGTCAATAGGGTTTGCAATATTTAAAAATTAATTTTTAAGTGAATAGTAATAATCCTGCAGTATAGGGTGTGCCAAGTACACACAGATATGTAAGTAAAATAAAACTCCCTCTACCCACAAACACTAAGAAGAGGGTGATGAAAAGGCAACCTTTTTTTTTGTATAAACGAACTCACCATAAGTTAACAAATACTCGGCGCACATATTAAATATAGTTTTTTAACCTTTCTGAACACTACATGCCGTTACATGGTACACAGGGTGGTTTCACCCCTATTTGAAACATTGTCGCTAATAAATATGTTCATTTAGTCTTAATGAGATAAATAGTAGTCATTTTCCATAATTCTATTAAATATTTATTTTGGTAATTTTCGTTAAAAAAAAATATAGTTCTTTCTTTAACAAAACCCGTGTAAATCCAAGTTTCCAACTTTGTGCAATATTAAAAAAATTCCACAAACTTGCGTACGAATTTCGAGCTTTTTCAAAAATTCTAAAAAATCAACCGTAATTTTTAGGCATTTGAAACTTTTACTCTATTCTAATAGAGACTCAAAATAAAAGGGGTGAACGAGAATGACCTTTAGAGGCGCCGCGAAGCTCGCCTTTGCTGGTTTTCAATAAAAAAAAAATAATAATTTTCTGTTGGTGTCGATGCAGCCAATTACTTGAAACACCCGTTATTTTATTTATTTTTTTAATTACAAATTAAACAGATTTTCCACACAAGAGGACAAATCTATTAAATATGTAAATTCGACATAAAATATGCAAAAATATACAAAATAAAAGATGCGCAACGTTTCCAGAATAATTACATTTTTTTCTATATGTATTTCGCTCACTTGTACAATTAAATCAATTAGTTGAATTTTAGTAATACTGACTTTTCGTCCTAACTCTCAAATAAAAATGAAAAAACTAGTATTGAAAGCCCCTTGGTTACATTCATAAATATGAACGACAGTGATGTCAATATTATTATGGCTGCTATGCAAAATTGAAATTAAATTACTTTTTTTCCTATCGATTACCGTAAATGTACTTGTGGTAATATTTGCATGCATATATGTACATAGGTATGTGTGGTATTGTAAAAAATTCGATCGGCCGGCCTAAAAGCTAATAAATAATTTTGAGGTGTAAATTTTTCTCAGTGCAAAGTGCAATTTTGTGTGATTCACTAAATATGCACTCTACTTAATTGGTGCTCGTGCAAACACAGATAACACAAATTTCATAACATTGACCAACGCGCTCGCATAGTCAAGAGCAATGAAAAGTTTTCGCTTCCGCAATAGAACGAGCAGTTGGGTTTCACATTTCAAGTGACGCGCTCTTTCGTAAACAAATTTTATAGATATTGTCAGCGAAGGTAACCGCACCGAAAAGAGACCAAAACAAAAAAAAAAGCTAAAAATGTCAACGAAGCACGCAGAATTCAATGAAGATGAATTGCATCCACCACAATGGCTTAATGAAGAGTTGTCATTGTGGCCGTGCTTAAGGCCCATGAGCAACAAGGGACAGAGCTGACTCTCGAAAAAGTCAAATTTACGCCAGCGACTAAGAAAGGCGATCACTATGCGAGCGTTATGTTCCGAGCGGTGGTGGACTACAAAGCGAACGCTACGCCAAAGTGTCAATCGCTGATAATCAAAACGCTGCCGGAGTTGGAGGGCCAAAAAAAGGATTTGCTGAGTCAATCGTTTATTTTCGAAACGGAGATCGGCATGTACACCGAGGTGCTGCCCAGGTTTGAAGAAAATTTGCGCAAGGCCGGTGACAAAACAACGCTCAAACCGCCGTATGTCTGTAGAGCTAAAATGGCAGGAAGATTTATTTGTATCTGTTTTTTTTTCTATATTCTTTTCGAAATGCGTAGCTGGCTTTATTACTCGCTGAGTCCGCATAAAGTGCTTGTGCTTGATGATATTGTGCCCAAAGGCTTTGAGCTAATACGAGATCGTGCAATGACAATGGAAGAAGCGAAAGCTGCTTACGAGCGACTTGCTAAATGGCATGCGGTCAGCTTCAAAATAATTAAACAGGTTTTCGTATATTTTGGTAAAGTTAAAATATGTAGTTAAGCTAATCGAATTTGGCAACAGGAACTGCATTTTTTCGACAGATATCAGCATGGTCTATTCACTATGCCCAATCTACTGAACGAAGGTCTGATGACAGACGGCATAAAATTCTTTATTGAAATGCTCAAGAAGAAGGCAACGTTGCATCAATTTGTGCCACACTTCGAAGCTCTGAGACCCGTTATACTGCAGAGGTGCTTGGACACATTTAGGGAATTTCGAGAGACACCGCGAGCGGATGCCTACTATGTGCTTTGCCACGGTGACTTCACCATCAAAAACATGATGTTCAAGCACAACTCGGCTGATGGGAGCTTGGTGGATGTGCAACTTTTGGACTTTCAGCTTTCATATGTTGGCTCAATCGCAAGCGATTTGATTTATTCGATGGTACAGCTGCTCGACGAGCACTTGAGAAAACAGTTTCCGATATTGGTTGAGTACTATTTTAATATTTTTATTGAGACTTTATTGAAACTCAAATATAAGGGTGCACTGCCAAAATTGGAAAAGCTGCGGGAACAGTTAGTGTGGCACAAGCATTTCGGTATGTTAAATTATTATTTTATCCTCTTGTGTGTTTCAAGTCCTTATTTATTCTGAATATACTCGTTAAGAACTTTTCCTGATCACCACATTTTTGCCAATCTGGTACAGGCTACGTGAACAAAATGTGGACCCCGTGGATTTGCATACATCAGCGGAATACCGACGTTCAATGTACAGAAACCAAAGCTACATTGCTGAGATGGAGCAGCTTTTGCCGAAATATTTAAATTTGGGTTATTTTGATAATTAAGAAAATTACTTAATGCAATATTTATACATATTTATATGTAATATAGTATATGCACACTCATCAAAAAAAAACAAACACACGTAATCGTACTTATAACATAATTCAAGTGTTTCACTGAAAAATGTACCGAAGATAAAACAGCAAGTACTCTATCAGAATTTATTGTCAGTTTGATAACAACATTATTTAATTTAATTGCAAATTAAATATGGAAAGATTATGGACAAAAGTGCAGTAAAAATATGTTTTATCTCTATATTTCATTGTTGAAATATTTTTCAAATAGATATTGGTAAAAATGAACAAAACTTTTTTATTTATATTTGATGAAATAAAAGCGACCTATGTACACCAAAAAAAAAAAAAAAACTTTTCTTAATTGAAGAAAAACAGCAATCAAAATGATGAAACATGGAAACGAAACAGAACTAAAGAAATTTTATCCTCTTTTCATGCCCAACATTTCTTCAAAATGATAGATTACATCCACGGTGCCATATCTTCGTGTACGTTTTTACACATTCCAAAGAAAAATTACGCATTCGGGAGAATTTTTACTCATTCGTCAGAATTTTCGACCGTAAAGTAAGGAAAGTTTTCTTTGATCCGGAGATGGATTTTTGGTTCAGTGTATTGCCGTACTGATTTGAAAATGGGTATCTGCATTTTTCTTCGAAAATTTGTAATTCATATCGTTGAATTCGTCTTTTAAATACGAAGCTATTCATGCAAACAGAGTTTTCAAATTATAAATAATAATAAAGTTATTGAAATTTTAAATGTTCACGTTTGCAGCATCTACAGCAATTTTTCGAGAAATCCTGATGTAAAATGTGGATATCTGCAAAAACATTGCAACTTTTTCCAGTAATTCTTGTGTGTGCTTTTATGAACATACATATATATGTACGCCTGCATATGCTCGTCAATTTAAATAGTTTTCAGCGCTTCGTTACGTAGCTAACTTTTCTAATTTTTATATATGTACTTACATATGTATGTGTATGTATACTTAAGTATGTAGATCATAGCTGGGCAAAACGCTACTCGCGAGTAGCGTCTGCG